GTGAAGCCATGTGTGAGGAGGGATGCGTGTGAGGGTGTCTGGGTGTGAGGAAGCGTAAGCGTGTCCACACGTGTGCCAGAGCAGGGAGCCCGTCTCCGCAGGCCCGTGGGGGCCGCGTGGCCCTGCTGTCACTGCCTGCAGCAGGCTGACCTTCTCCCGCCTGCTGGAAGTGCCAAGGGGCCTGTGGCTGGCGCAGCACCAGCCGATGGCAGAGGGCCACAGGTGTCCAGGCTGCTTGGCATCAGGCCGATATATGATTCATGTTTCCCTGGCTGCACATGGGGCTTTGCACTAGGGACCACCTGCCCCCCAGGTCACATCCCTGCTAACCGGCTCCTTTAGCCCATCCTCAGCAGGGTTGGAGGGGTCCCCCTGGACACCAATCCCCATCCAACTCCTGACCCCACAGGACTCTGCATGGGGCTCCCGCGGCCACCTCCCCAGGGGCTGCGACTCCGAGCTCCAAGGGAATCAGCACAGGACAGGAGCAACGGGAGCCGCCCTGCAGGGCGAGCTGAGTGAGAGGGCCCCCCCCAGGGCCGCGCCTCACCATGACGGAGCAGATGCTGGTGCCGCGCAGGCTGTCCCCCCGCAGGCTTCCCTGCCGGCTGTCCCCCCGCAGGTGCAGGGTTTCCTCTGTCTGAAAAACAGAGAGAGAGGGAGGGTGACAAACGCCTGGTCCCGGCAGCCTCCCCCCCGCCAGGGCCAGCCAGGGCAGGGCGAAAGGGGCAGTTTGCCCCAGACCCATGTTCGAGAGGGCCCCCGAGCCCGTGGCATTGGAATCAGTGGCGCTGCGGCACTGGGTGCCAGGGCATAAGGCTGCTCCTTGGCTCAGACCCATCGCGCTGCAGGGGCAGCCGGGCCAAAGCTGAGCGGCGCTGCGACCCCGCGTGCTGGGTCCCCATGCCCCACACAGGGAGCCAGGCCCAGGCCCGCAGGACGGGTGAGTCACCGCTGCAGGGTCCTTGCGGGGCGGGCTCTGCCCCCAGCCCAGCACCCCCCTTCAGTGTCTCTGCACCCATTGCCAGGATTCTTCTATTGTCTCCAGGGTCCTTTTTGGGGGGTGGGGGGAGCTCGGTTTCAGATTTTGCCCTGGGCCCCCAATTACCTCTATAGGGCCGAGTAGCCACCCCCAGTGATCTCCTATGGGGCCAGGCAGCTGCCCCCCAGTGACTCCCTATGGGTCCCAGGCAGCTGCTCCCCAGTGACTCCTACAGGCTCCGCGTAGCTGCCCCCAGTTACACTGCATGCGGCCTGGGCCCCCATGGGGTTGAGTTGCCCCGTCTACCGTCCCCAAACCTCACTCGTCTTTCCACATGTTTCCTGCAGGGGGTGCTGGGTTCTTTACTGAGCCAGCTCCCCTGCAAATCGGATGGGGAGAAAATTCATCATAATAGTGTGGGTGTGGGTGTGGGGGCTGAATATCCCCACCAGTGCCCCACTCCCTCCCCATTGGGCTCCGCCCACTCTCCCGGCCCCCTCACCTGGTTGCGGGTGCTGGCGCTGTGGCTGGAGTACAGGCGCCGGATGGAATTCTCCCTCGTTAGGGTCAGCTCCTCCTCACTGCCGGGTAGAGAGACACCAGGGTGAGCAGTGAGATCCGCATCCCGGTCAGCCCCGGGAGCCCCGTGGCCTGGCTGAGCTGTGTGCTCTCATCAATCCCCATGGCTGGGCCTCCAAGGCTGACCTGCTCCCAGCCTCCTGTATCCTGGCTGGCAGAGGTTAGCGCAGTGATAAGGGAAGCCTGGGGCTCGATTCCCACCAAGAGCAGCCTGAGGCAGGATCCGGGTGCCAGAGTTTGGGTGGCTGCCCAGTCAGGGGCAAGGAGGGAGAGGAGTCTGTCTGCAGGGCCTGGATCAAGGTCTGTCTAAGCAGGGCCCAGGTCACAGTCAGTCAGCACCTTCTCCACCTCCAGGCAGGGCAGAGGGCTTGTACACCTCCAGGCGCTGAACCGCCCAGGTAAAGCTGAGCGCTGAGTCGTCACTGGGGTGAAGGGCGGCATTTCAAACCGCACTAGGCCCAGTCGGGGGTCAGAACGACTCCCAGGTGACATCTGACGCGGCTCATGGTGCTGGAAACGCAGCACAAGGGAGCAGGCAGCTGTAGTTTTAATGTGTCACCTCGACCTGCTGGCAGGGGTTAAAACTACAACTGCCTGGACCATGCTAGGACTTAGTCACAGGGGGGAGCCAGGGCTGGGCTAGCAGGGGGCTGTGGGTTGGGACTGAGGGGCACTGGCAGAGCTGTGGGGGGACCCAGGGCTGGGCTAGCAGGGGGCTGTGGGTTGGGATTGAGGGGCATTG